TTAATCTCGACTCCTAAGCGATGTGAAACTTTTAGACATACTGAAACAAAATATATATATATATATATATATATATATATATATATATATATAGTGAACACAGTTAGAATCTAATAAGGATGAGTTATAATAAGTTTAAAAGTAAGTCCAAGAAAAAATAAGGATGATTAAGAAGGAACTTACAAGGAATAAATTGGAACAGAAGGAAGTCCTTAGAGCAATGAGATTAGTGGCTAATGGATGAAGAAAACGGAAGCGTTTAATGGAATTCTGAATCTGTATGAATGGAGGTGAAAAAGTAGCATAATCTGTAGGAGAAGGGGTAAGGGGATTTGAATTGAGTAAAACAAAAAAAGAAGCAATCCACCAATGAAAGATGTTGGGTGTGAATCGTGAAAGCAAAGCAAATGAAAGGGATAATCAATTATAATTATGAAAACTACAAGTCTTCGCCAGAGACCCGTCAACGTTTTTATTTATTTATTTTCTTCAGAGATTTATTAGTATCTGAGTCTTGGATTTTTCCAAAGACTAAGTCGACGAAACAGGAAACCAAACCAAGCCTTACCATATATGGGCCTTTTTCAATTCACCAACACATACACACTTCTCTCGATGAAAAACGTAATATATCAACTGGTTACTGGTTAGTTCTATTTTTTGGTGGTTAATGGAGTTTGTGATCATGTGAGGACCTTGATTTTGATTGGGCATGGATCTGAGGTGGGTCCCAGTGTTGTAGAGGTAGCAGTAGCAATGAAGGTGGCTATGACATTGTTGGGTTTGTGTTTGTGGTTGACTTGACTGGGACAAAAGGCTGCAACACCACAATACACTTTCAAGTTTTAAGTCAAAACGCCTATTCTCTATTGTTGTGTAGAAATTATTTTTCAACCCTTTTACTTAGACCTATTCATTTAGAAATCAATAAATTATATATATTTATATATTTATTCATTTTTTAAATATATAAATTATTTATTTTTAAAAAAACTAAATTGAATTAATATGGAAAGGTTCAAACATCATTTGTGTTTATAATTACTAATCTCTCGCCCTGCAATTCAAATTATTGACAAATATTTGCATATCTTCCGCACATTTTAGACTTTTTCAGCTTCCAACCTTCGTTCCTTCTGCATAAATTTATACCGTTTAATTGTCCTTTTAATTCTTATAAATCAATTGAGTGCAGGCCTTTAAACAAAAATATTGAGCGCGGGTTTTTTATTTTTGTGGAGGATTAATAGTGTTAAATCACTGAATGATTAGTTGATTTTTTTTAAAACTATTCAGAACGCAAAATATCAAATAAAAATTTAAGAGTCTCATTCAAAAGATGTTGAAATATTAGCGTATATTAGAGAAAGATCAATTTCTCCTAAACAAACTCTTTATTGTTTTTCAAATAAATTGAACCAAACTTAATAGCGTGAAATTTAGAAAGCAGTATTATTTGATATTTTCTTTAGTTAAAAAGGATTAGATTAAGCTGATTTATTGAGAAGGGTTAAACATTTTTTTATATAATATCCAGTTGGGGAAATATTGGCAGTGGCTTTCTTCTCTTGATTAATCTTGTTTTATTTTATGTGTTTTATCATGTGCACCCACTTTATAATCAGAAAGATGCAAAGAAAATGAGAGGAAAGAGCGAAGATTACTTGCGTCAATTTTTCTGTATTTGTTTAAGGTGCCCTCTTTTGTTGGTACTAGTATTTCTCCTTTGGTTTGTTTGGTGGTGACAGCACATGAAAGGCCATTGAAAAATGATATAATTTTTTTAAGTGATTCATAATTTAATTGTTTAGTAGCAGAAAAATTATTTCGTCATGATCTTTTGACACTTTGTTCTACTTGTGTGTAAAAAAGTTGATTTCAAAACATGAAATATCGTTGATAGAAATGTCGCCTATCATTTATGTTAAAAACATCACATCATGTTACGCTTCGATAAATTTTACGTCTCGAAAAGACTTTTTTTTAAGACGTATCGAAAAAGTTATTTCTCACTATTAACTAAAAATATTTTAATATAAATAAGAAAACATCACATAATCTAATTTGTCTTGTTTATATTTTTTAATAGACGGATGTCTATTCCTTTAAAAAAAAATACATGGATGTCTATATTTTCACTATTTGTGTGTATAAAGCTTGATAGAGTTATATTTATCAAAGGAGTTTTATTATATCTTACTTTTATGGGTTATTTATGCACAACTATGTTAGTAACATATTGTGTACTTTAACATTAAACTTTTATGATTTTTCTTATATTTATCAATAGAGTTTTATTATATCTTATTTATGAGTTATTTATGCACAACTCGTGTTAGTAACATATTGTGTACTTTAACATTAAATTTTTATGATTTTCCTTTTATCAATATATGATATATGTATGATTCTGGTACAAGTATTAGAAGCACGTATTGTAAGCCAAAAACTATTAATGATATATATACCAGATGGTAGCTAATTAGGCCGAATACCCAAGTACTCGACCCAACCGATCTATTAACCTTGTCGAGAACGCCAATCACCTCTTACCTGAGCCAAACATGTCAGTATACTCGGCCAAGTTATGGAATTATGTCAAGCCAATTAAGGAGAGGTTAGTTTACGTAATGTACCGGTTTAATCTTTTAATTTCTCGGGGCTCAGTCCCTAATCACGGCCCAATAAGAATCACTATAAATAGGACCACAACGAGGTACGTAACTAACTTTCAATTACTGCATTTAATACACCGAGCACTTACTTAAACGTTGGAGTGTCTTTACAGGCATCCCCTCACTTCGGACTTATCGGAAAGGAACGAGAAGACCTAGACCCAAGACCAAACCTGCTACAACAAAGATAAGTGAAGCGTGTATCCTAATTCAGGATCAATATACAAATTTATGAAGAAAAAAAAAGTTGTTTAAAAGTTACTGTATCTGATAGGAAATGAAGAACAAAATAGTGAATTCTCCATGAGTGCGGGCCATTGTAATTTGTAAGCATCTTGGGATTTGACGAGAAGTATCTGCCACTGAAGGTGCATGGCTGAGAGAATGCAACACATCAATTTATGTGAAGCTACGACGCAAAAGTCTGAAGGAAGAAGCACGCATTTGAAAAATTGTCATTGCAAGCGTCACTGCACAAACATTTAATTTGTTATCGACAGAAGAAACTCGGATAATAATCTGATATGAAGAGTTGAAGACATGTCCTTAGACCCTGTGCCGGCCATTATAAAAAAAATCATAAACACTACTTCATTTCTTGTCAACGAAATATAAGCCTGCACCATACAACACGGATTCTATGCCCTAGGCTCCAAAAATAAACCATAATGGATTCCAGTAAGGAGTTTTCTTTTTTTCAAAAAATAAAAAATTATATATATAACTTTTCCTTCCAAAGTGTCTAATTTTCAAAATATTTTCTATTAACCACGTTGCGGCAGAATAGCAACCAAAAGTCGGTACCAATCAGCTACTCATAAATAAGTGAAAAAAATAGCAATCACATGTAATTCAGTCACTAAAATTAGTAAATAGGAAATATAAATAAGAGTGAATCCGTTTCACCATGTAAAGTCAGGGGTGATCGTGAATCAGATTAAATGAAAGATAAAATTGATTTTATCAATTCATTTATTTTTTCTCATACCAAATAATATGAAAAATTACCTCATTTTCCTTTTTTTTATCCTCTTACTTTCTTTCTTAAATTAAATAAACCCTAAGAGAATTAAAGATCCTTTTCTCTTCTCAATATTCTTAGCAACACCTCTTCCGCTTTCTCTAACTAGGAGTTACAGGAGTATTTTCTCTGTCTAAACTAAACTTCTTTCTATTGGAGTTAAGCGAATTTCAATGTAATTAACATTTCTAAATTGGGTTTTAATGAAAAAAAAATGATTATACTTAATATTTATTAAGATTTAATTATCTTTAATAATCATTTAAGTCATGAATAATTAATTATTAGAGACCAAAATCCGTTAATAATGTTCAATTTTTTTTTACACCAACAATGTTCACTCTTAAAACTTGATTTCTCTTAATTTCATCCAAGGAAACAAAAATGTTTCCCAGGTGATATTAATTATTCTGTGGCAGAAATTTAGATAGGTCAAGTCACAGTTGACACGTGACACTTAAGCTGTTACGACTAAATAGAAAGAGTTGTTATAACTTTTTGGTCTAGTAGTAAGTGTTGAATCCAACACAAAATTTTTAATTAGAAAAATGATTCAATTTTCATGGAATAACAATTTAAATAAATTAGTAAATCTTATTGGCAAAGTAAAAAAAAATTAATTAAATTATACCTGTATGAAGAATTCTACATGAAGTTGGATGAAATTTAATTTTAATACTTTTCTCATTTGATTCAACTCATTTTCCTTATGTTTTTGTATTCTTGTTTCTTAAAATAAAAATTAAAGAATAAACGATTACTATTTTCTTTAATTTTAAACTATTCATTTAAAACAATCTAAATTCAAACTTTTACAAATCTTATTAAAATTGTCTTTGTAAAATATGAGCTTTTTTATTAAAAAAAATAATAATACACAATTGAACTATTAGAATGATGTAATTGTCAGATTTGAATAATTAATATTTAAGATCGTTATTTTGAATGAGACTATTTTTAAGAGTTTATCTTCGACAAAAGGGTTTCTAGAGATATTTTAACTTCTTATTTAATTTTTATTTATTTATTATAATTATTTAGGAATTAAATTTTAATATTTTAAAAATAAATTATCAATAAATAAAAATAATATTATACT